CTGCCTGCCCACCCAGAGGAGCGGCGGGCCCTAAGGGTCCGCCGGGGACCTGCCAGCTCCGCGCTCGCGGCTCCTGGACAGCCCCGGGACTCTGCCAGGTGGATGTTGTGCATAGCCGGAGCCAAGTTGAAGGTGAGCGGCGTGTGGGCCAGAAGCTCCTTGAATTGTGGGGGTATGTGGTGGTAGGGGTAGGGGGTGTCTGAGGTTTGGAAGGGCCCAGGGCGGCCTGGCGCTCCGGTGGGGTCCCTCAGCGTCTCTAAAGAGACGGCTCTTGCTCGCAACGCTAAGGTGTGCTTGAAGGTAAACTTGACCGAACTTTCCTAACCGAGTGGACTGGTGATAGTGACCTACACTACTTTTAGGAAGAAAGCAAATGAACTCCAGATGCGGGCTTGTATGAATAAAGCGTATTGGATTAAAACATAAACGGAGTCTGACAACTTTAATTGTATATGCTTGTTTTCTGCTCTAGCCTACGTTAGAGCGATGAAGCAGACTCACAGTCGTTAAGAAATTTCTTCAGATTTCTCGCTTAACTACGAAGAAGACTATGCGAAATATGTATTTCCGATAAGATTAAAACTTAAAGGAGTTTGAGTGTTTATTGACTAAAATAGATTACTCCAAAGTGTCTATTGTGTAAATTAGATTCCTGAATGTAATGAACACAGCCGAATGGCATTTTTGATAAATTGGTCTACCCTGTTTTAGTAAAAATAGCTCCCTTTTACCATAATTTGATTCCTGTGCTTACTGTAAAACCCGTTGTGGAGTCTTAAGAGACAATCCTTAATTTTTTTTTCTTGTCTACCTAAATGTGACATTCCAGCTTAACACCAATGCTATTTCTTTTTTAAGCACCCTGGCAAAACTGCCTGGAAGATGGATTTGGTTTCTAGGGAGTTGTTAGATTTTATGAACTCTCTGACACCCCGACTCCCTTAGTGACTAACTGCTTCTTCATGGTACATGAGGACGTTTAACTGTGTAACTTTAGGTTTCAGTTTAAAGTTTCCCTGTGAGTTCATGTGAATGTCCTTTCAGGTGTTGATCTTGAATTTAAAAACCTTTATCTGAGCATCGTTCTCTTTACTGAGCATCCATTGGCTTTTCCTGGTAGATGACAATTTGGCCTTAGATGATTTCCCATTGCCGCTTCATCGCATGTTTGAAAACCTTCAGTTGACTATGGAATGCCAGAGTTCCAGTATAAGGCTAAACTGGTTCTTTCTCTGGGCCCTGAAGAGGCCTTTTGAGTTGTTATCTAGTTTAGAGTCATCTCTATTCCCCTAGACAGTAAGCGAGCCAGAGGGACTGCAGTCTGAGAAGAGACAATTCATTAGTCCCTGACTCTTCTCATCTTTCCAGAACCCCTTACACTGAGATGGGGTTGTGGCCTTGCTACCTGAGGGTAAAGAGGCTGGGTCCCCGAGGGTCCAGGTGAGATAAGGCCCCTCCCACAACTCAGGGAGTGGGGGCTGAGCTCTTGTCCCTCATAGGACTTGAAGTGAGTGCCCAGGAAGGGAGTTTCTGAAGATTGAGCTCTATTTTGTTTCCTTTTTAGTCCCAAAGTCTTGTGGTATAGAAGTTTCAGCACTCTGGCGTTGCTAAGACTAGTTGGACAAGTTTTTATCCTATCCCAGACTTGTAAAAAACAGGCTTTTTTTTTTAAATAAGAAAAACACCATTGTATAAATTTGCCTTTTAAATACACATTTGGAAAGAGAATACTTTCTCAAACAAGCTCATATAACTCTGTATGTTGGGGTAGCTTTTTGCCAGTGACTGGCTTCCCTTTGGGGGCATTATTCCTATGTGGTGGCTAGTGTTCCCCTTTAAGGAACCTCTGCAGAAGTAACCTCTAAACGTTTTCCTCTTTTTCAAACTAAGAGAACAATTTCATTTTTGCTGCAAGTCTATTTTCTGGTGGCTTTTATTTTGTTTTCTCCTGTTATGGAAGTATGTCTGTGAACAGTCCAGGACTGTTCTCTGTACGAAGTACATTACTTTGATTAAAATGTGTATCTCATCTAGGACCCTTTATAAAATAATGAGTAAACAAATGGAAGGGTTCCATACAACTGCTGTCTTTGTTTTCTTGATTCTCTTAATATCAGCATCTTTGAGATTGGGTGTGTGGAGGGGGTCATTGTCAATTGATTAAAGTTTTTTTTCTCTGTATGAAACTGTGTGTAGGGTTGGTTTTTTTTTTCTGGTTTGCTTTTTTTTTTTTTTAAAAGGTGTCCATCAGTGAAGAAGTTGAGTTACGCAGCACCTCCTGATACAGTCGGGTCTATAGAGGCCCCTTTCACCTCCTTCACCAATTTCACCCATCTTCTGCCAGTAGTTCGTTAAGTGAGAAAGTTGGAAAGGGAAAGGGACAGACTGCCAGCCCCCTTAGGAATTACTCTCTCCTAATCCACGGAGCTAACCTTAAATATGCTGTCTGGTGAGCTAATTGAGCCCAAAACCTTTATGGCTGTTGAAAAAGTCCTGCCCTGTTGTATGCAATTCAGATGAACCCACCAGAACCCACCAGGATTTATGCGGTTGGGCGAAGTCTGGCTGTGCATTAGCAACAGGCCATGCCTCAGGGTCCACCCGTCCCCCACCTTTCCGGGTCTACTTGTAGCAGTCAGCAATCTAAACTGCTCCTGAGCCTGTGCTCACATTCTCTGTCTTAGGAGAGGAAGCAATGTTCAAAGTAGAAAATTCCATGTGTATTTCAGCTCATTTATAAAAAGCACAAGGAATATCTGCAGTGAAACCAAGGAAGGACAAATTTGTTAGAAGAAAAGTTGTACATTTTGAGAAAGAGGAATTTATCGTATAAAATCCTACAGAGCTAGGCCAAATTCCTGCCTGTGCTTCCGTTTTACAGTTCATACATTTGGCCTCATGTAAATTTCACATATTTAAAAGACAGGTGTATCTGATGGACTGTAACACAAAAGCTAACTAAAAGTAACTATCGATGGTTATTCTGATATATAGGATCATATTTTATTTTAGAAATTATTTAAAAACCAATTTAAAACTACTTAACGTATTCTATATATATTATATAATATAATATATATATATAAAGTAGCGTTCCCTATGAAAGGTCTGATTTTTACAAGTAATTGTCAAAATTAGAAATTCATGTATTTCACCATATTGTTTTGTCTGAAGTTCTGCATTATGGCTGTGGAGAGATAGTTTTGGTTTCAGCTGAAATTCCCCTGCCTCTGATTGTTTAAACCAGACCCTTAATCTTATTTTAACATACTTAAAATGTTCACAAAACCCGGAAGAATTGTTTTGTATAAGTAGCAAGTGAATGTAGTTTAAACACTCAAGCAATTCTGGTATCTAATTGGAAACAGGTGGAATTCTTGGAATCCTGCGTTTGAATCTTATTATAGGAAAGCATAGAGACACTTTTTACCATTCATTTGTCCATGCTGTTTGAAGAGGGGCCCCATGACCTCTCCTTGTGCCCCGCTACTGTTTACCTGGATGTTCCAGCCGAGCTAGGCATTTTAGGAGTTAGATGCCTGTATGCTTGGACACCTGAGAGAACTGTGCGTGTGTGGATCACAGAGTGAAAAAGGAACTTTAGTGGCATAATTAGACCAGCGATTTAATATCTGTATTGTATAATTAATACAGCAAAGAAATTGTGAATTCATTTGTGATTCCTGATTTAATAAACATTTGTTGACATGAGCATTTGAGTACATTTTACTGTACCCTGATAAAGATTTAGAATTCAGAAAGAAATTACTTTCCCTAAGTACATTTAGAGATATAGGCTTAAATAGCAGCCAAACCAAACAAAAAAACTAGGTTAGGGGATTATTTCAATAAAATGTTAATGGTGGGGTCCTCTGAATTATCTAAGTCATTTTTCCTATTCTGTGTTTCAAAGCTAGCTAGTAACCTTGGTTTTGCTGTGTGTTTCATAACCAAGTTATGGTTGGTGTTTAGGTGCTGATCTGTATCGAGCTGTCAGTCCTGTCACAGTTTTGGATTTGCTGAGCCGTAATCAGTCCTGCTTTTCAGCTATGTTCTGAGAAAGCTGGTAAAGGAGAACAGTCTTTGGCTGGGCAGGAGGTGTTCCTGCAGGATGTTACCAAGGATGGTGGAGGGGGCCTGTGGCATTGCCCTCATTTGTACCATAGCTGAAGCAGCTTTGAAGCCCCTGGGCTGATGTACCTGGACTGTGACTTTAAAAGTGCGTGTGCTACCCAGCTCTACCCAGTTCATGTAATGTGACAGTTAAACATAATGAGGAGGAACAGCTCTTTCTGAAAGACATCTAATTTGTTGCAAAACCCATCAAGAACCTTTCCTTTGAAAAGTAAACAAGTCTCTAATAAAAATAATTCTAATTCTCGCTGTAATTAAATCCTGATAGGATGATGTTAATGCGCAAAATAAATGATGTCAGTTTCTTCATTGGAATCTGAAGACTTTCCCTTCTGCAGGAGGCCCAGGGCTGGCGGCAGAATTTTTGTGTTTATTAGAGCCTTGGGCCAGGGGCAGCCTGGAAGTTCCTCAAATGCTACACAGAGGTCTCCCCCACCCCCACCCTCAGGAACACAGTCTGACAGGTTTCCAGTCAGAAAGGAGTGGGTCATTCCTCCCAAGAATTTACCTAACACTGCAGAGCGATGGGAGGAATAGCCAGGTGGGAGATTCACATGAAACTGACTAGGTTCTGCTTCCTTGTTTAGGCCCTTGTGAAGTTGAGCTGGGAATACCAACCACACCATCGACACCTTTTATAAAACACAAGGGCCTACCGGGTTTTGCTTGTGGCCAACTCAGTCAGTTGACAGTTGAAAATCTGGATGCTTTTGACTGTGATTTATGAAGTGAATGTCAGAAGAAATTACCAGTGTTTACTCTGAAGCTTGTTCTTTCTTAGCATTACCCTGAGTGTACCAGCACGGGGCCTGTTTTCTTAATGACATCTTTCTCTTTGACTGTGTTTATCCAATTGATTAAAGCCAGTTAACTTTTTTTTCATAACTTATGTATAGCTGTGAGGTGTCTGAGTTTGGTTAAGGGAAAAACAAATTGACAAATTAGCTCTTTCTTAAGTGAACATTGTGAAATTGTGAGAAATAGAATGCCATTCTTACTGTCATTAAAATTTTATTTGGGTGTTGACAGCTCTTTACTAAATGTAAGACATTCAGATCCTGTCCACCCAGCTGTGAAAAACAAAAGAACCCCAAAACAGAAAAACAAAAAAACCTGCAAAACAACCCAGTCAGCTCAAAAGCCTCTTCCCAATTTCCTCCTAAAAGCAAGACGGTCTTAACAGTGGGTCTTTCCCCCTAATACATTGTTAATATTTTTAAGGCCAAAAAGAGTATGCGCTCATTCTAGGCATCTTGGTTCAGTCATTATTTTGGACCTGCGAGGGTCTTTGGTTTAGTGCCACCTTCCCTTGGATTTTTAGGGGAGAAATTGCTGTTTGGATGAAAATGATTTGATTTAAAGCTAGTAAGTGACACCAAAGGGAAGTCCTTTTCTTGAGGAGCCTGAAGCTGCAAACAGAAGCCAGGCCCAGAGGCCACTGGTAAAGGAAGGACCGCTTTGGAGCCACCCTCAGCCCAGAGCACCCGCTGTCACCCCACTTGCCTCTTCTGGTCTTTCTTCTGAGCTCCTACCCTGCCAAGCCTGTCCCCTTCTTTGTTGTGATAACTGTTTTTTTTTTTTTAAAGTATTTGTGGAGCTCCATTATTTTGAGATTCTTGGAAGAAAGATGCTATGTAAATGAAAATTAAAAATAAAATTCTTGCTGGAGGGAATTGTACATTTAATTTTTTGATTAGGTTTGGAAAAGACTTTTTTTTCCTTACTCTGAAAATAAGAACATTCTGTTGCTCCTATCACCATTTTTGCTCATTCTGAAAGGTGTGGCAGATAATGGTGAAACCTGTCCTTTATTTTCTGTTTTTCACCATGACAGTTGACCTAGAACTTGAACCCATGCAGTTTTGTGTACAGCGAATTATTTGTTTCACATTCTTCTGCTCTGCCCTTGCTGAGCTGCCCATAGAACACAAACGTTTTAAAGAGGAAAAGATTTTGAGTCGCCAACATGCAGAAATGACAACTAAAATTATTATAAGTAGACTTGCAAATCAGATTCCACCTTCCCTGCCTGTTCACACAACAGAGATGTTGTAAGTGGTACATTTTTGAAACAAAACGGTGAGAGCAGGAGCATTCATGTAAACCAGTGTAGAAACCTGAATTTACTGGAATTGCTTCATTTCAGTTGTACCTGAACTGGTTTACATAACAATGTGTCCTCACATCCTTCAGCCAAGTAGGAGACAAGGCAGGTTTGGAGTCATGCTTCTGCTCCATAGGCATGTGTGGGAAGACAGGAAGATCAGGCTGCTGCCAAGGAGCCCTGTCCAGGTGACGTGGTCCACCAGGGCCCTCACCGTCACTGGCAAGTGCAGAGGACCAGTGAGGTGGCCAGGGCTTGGCAAGCACTCGCCTTGGAGAGCAATGTGACGCAGACAGGGAGTTGTCACCTGGAGCCAGCCATCCCTGGGGGACTGCTCAGTCATCTCTATCTTACCCCGCTCCATTCCTCAGCTCCCAGCACCCCAGCTTGTCAGCATTGACGTGGGATGGGAAGAGGAAGGATATTGGCAGTTATGGTTGAATGTCATTGTCAGGGGAGTAAGAAGTGGTTTGCAGTTGTTTTACGTTACTCTGTGTTGGTATGTAATTACGCTGTCATTTTAGAACACACTGATACTTTAATAAGTCTTGTGTATGTGTGTGTGTGTGTGCCATTAGTTTTAGGGGCTGTGTGCTGTGAGAGCCAGATCTTCCTAACACACAAGAGCTGAGAACGTAGCCTTTACTTGTTTCAGAATTGTCTGTTGGAAACAGGTCGCAGTCCATTATAGATGTGGCTGCCAGATTAATCTTCCCAAACCATTGATTTCATCATGTCATCCTTCTTGAACGCCCACGGTGGCTGGCATTGGCATGGAGTGGAGACCACATCCTCAGGCCAGCAGACAGAGTTCCTGATGGTTGTCTCCACCTCGCCTCAACCTTCTCCCCACTTACCAGGATCCCAGATTCATGCTCAAGTGGGAAAGTCCCTCTCCTCCTCCTGCAAATCTGAATATCAAGCTGTTCTTATGCACCCCTCCTTCGTTTTAACCAAGGCCACAGCGGCAGCCTCAGTGCCCCAGGCAGTGGGATGCAGGGGGGAAAGCTGTGGTTCCCATCCTGGAGGCGCCGGCAGCCTTATATGGGCAGAGGTGGGCCGGGCAGCCGGGATGCGGCTGTGACAAGCTGTGCGCAGGTGGAGGGCTGCAGAGGAGGGACGTCCGAATGGGGGGTGGGGGTGGGGTGGGCAGGGAACCCCCCCCCCGCCCCAGGCGAGGTGAAGCTTGAACTGAGTTCTGTGCACCCGGAGAAGTAAGGGAGAGGGCGTTCCTGCAGAAAAATTGGGCGGTAGTCTCTGAGACCCTCCAAGCTCTGGCTCCCTTCTCTGCTGTTTCTGACGGACCCCATTTAGCGCCATCCACTCAGCTTCCGGGCTGTCCCTCCCACTCACACCCCTCCCCTCTTCTGCACCCCAGGTTGCTGCGCACCCGCCACTCACCCTGCCCTGTGCTGTGGCACTCGCCACTGTTCTCGCACCCAACAAGTCCTGCAGTGGGCTTCCTCCAAGGGGCTGTCCTGTGTATTTCTGATTTAGGACTCAGCTAGTTAACTTAATAACACAAATGGAACTCTTTTTAGGACCGTGAGAGGTAGATAGGTTATATTAAAATGGCTTTGTTTTGAAAGCTACTGATAGGTACACGCTGATGGAACATGTATGTCTTTTTCTATTCCCATTTATTAAAGTCCTTTGCCAAGTGACATATGCGTTAGTTAAAATACACATAATTGTATTGGTGGCCCACAAAATATAAACATTAAAAATTCACGTTTTTAAAAATAGAATTGGGCAGAACAATTCTTTGACAGAGATTTATTCTTTGACTCTGCTCCCAGCCTGAATGGGAGGAAACTTCCCCACATGAACGGGGAAAGTTCATATTGTAACGATCAGAACCCCACCAATGCAAGGGAAAGCCAGTAGCAAGAAACTTGAAGGCTTGGGTGTCAGCACTGGAGAAAGCTCTCCCAGGGGATTGGCCGGAAGAAGCTGTCCCGTGGGTCTGGTGCGCTCTTGGGCGAAGACTCCCCGCCAGCCCTGGTTCAGGGCAGCGGCCTTCAGAGCCTGCGTGCTTTCTCTGCTGCTTCATTTACAAAGAAAGTACCTAGGATATTTTTGTAGAGGTGACGTCACTGTCTGGCCGCATGAGCATTTGCATGGATTTGGGGAAGTGAGGGCTGCTGGGACTTCACCCTGGGCAGCTGGGGGAGGGTGCTGAGAGGAGCCACGGACCCCGGGGTCCAGCCTGGGTGGCTGATGGGGGCTGGGCCTGGTGTCCACAGGGGCGGGAGAGGAGGAGGAGGAGCCACCCCAGGTAGCTCCTTTGCTGGGATATGTGGGATTTGGGAGGCAGTGGGATTTGCATTTTGGTTGGTGCTTGGGAGTTGAGCGTCATTTGCAGTGGGAAGGGCTGAAGAATTCATCTTAACTAGGGGGCCCCTCCCACCTGCATCCTAACTTTCCCAGCTGTGGAACTAGGACTCTGTGATACTCCAGTGAAAGGAGGGAA